CTAGACTGCCAGTCTAGCCGTACTTATCTTAGGCCCTATTAACATTAGAAAACAGGAGGTTTAAAATACATGCCCTGTCATTAAGGTACCTGGTTCCGTCTCAAACACAAATAAATACTTTAGGTACTGCACACTAAAAATGTATATTTACAATTCAGTAGGCCTATTAGATTTTTTGTAAATGGTCAGTCTAGCCATCATATTAAGAATAAGTACGGCTAGACTGCGAGTCTGCCGTACTTAAGTACGGCTAGACTGCCAGTCTAGCCGTCATTAAGTACGGTTAGCCTCTTCCATTTTAGAATCTTAGAATTTTTATTTCGAAGTGACTATTTCTCCGAACGCTCGGGAAAATAAAGTTGAACTCTATTTCTCTGAACGATTTCTAATCTCGAGATTTTTTTGTTTAAATTTGCAAAATTTAGGCGTCATCCTTTCATTCTGCCATTCTGCGAGGACTGGGAGGAAGCATTTTTTGCATCCAATTCAATTTCTAGAGCTAGATCTAGATCTAGAGATTTTTTAATGTATCATCAGATACTTCAGTTGTGGTTGGTGCAACGTTTCAAGACTACAGTATACTTCATTTGAAAATACTTTCAAAGGGGTACCTAAAGTATTTGTATTTGAGACGAAACCAGGTGCCTTTAACTTTAATGACAGTGCATGTTTTTTAAACCTCCTGTTTTCTAATCTAGATCTAATGTTAATGGGGCCTAAGATATGTACGGCTAGACTGGCAGATTTGTAGATCTAGATCTATTCTAGATCTATACTAGATTATATAGATATATATATAGATCTAGATCTATATACTAGATAATATAGATTTTAGATCTAGATTTCTAGATCTAGAATCTAGATTAGATTTAGATCTAGATTCTAGATTCTAGATCTAGATCTAGATCTAGATCTAGATCTAGATCTAGATCTAGATATCTAGATTTCTAGATTTAGATCAAGAACAAAGATGTAGCACTTACCAAAACCCACGCTAAAAAAATCGTTCCCACAAGAGACACACCTCGGTACTTGAAATGAATACGTTGATTGTTAGTAAGTCGCTGTGTGTGTGTAGTGTGTAGCCTTGCCACAGGCCACAGAGATCACTGGCTCACAACGGCACTGAACTGTGTCACTGTGAGTGTGTCAGGAATGCAAAAAACTTCTAGATCTAGAATCTAGATTATCTAGATTTTAGATCTAGACTAGACTAATTCTCAATTTCTTGCACTAATTTCTCTTGTGCCAATAGCACGTCTTCATCTATATAAAAAAACAAAACAAATTATTATATGATATATAGATCTATATATCACTGTCCAGTCCAGATAGTAGGTAGGCTATTGGGTAATTCTCGTGTGTCGTGTGTAGGCTAGTGGAAATGTGTAGAGTGCAGCGGCGCCGCACACTTCCGCCCCGCCCTCTCTCCAAACCTCTGGTCTGAAACGAAACCTCTTTGGATTTTCCAAATTGTATTTACGTTATTCGTTTGATTCGCACTTGTTCTTGTTATTTATTTATTTATTTATTTATTTATTTATTTATTTAATTATTTGTTTATTTATTTGTTTATACATTTACATTACCATTACACTGTGTAAGATGTTCACCTGTCTAGAATGACCACTTTTCTCCTCGACAATGGGTGGTCATCTTAAACAGTTTCGAATGTATTACATTGTATGTTGTTGTTGTTGTTGTTGTTGTTGTTGTTGTTGTTGTTGTTGTTGTTGTTG